CAGAGACGAAAAAACTAAGCACACCATAATTTACAAATAATTACAACATTATGTTAATCTCGTAGTGTTGTATAGTATTACGCGCATTTTTTCCCCTTTCGTTTGATAGATATTATAATGCACGCGTTTATACAAATTGTAAATGAAACACAMATTTTTTATTGAGCCTATTTCATTACTTTTTACAACCTCCAAGATTATAAGTTATCATCAATACATCATAAACCTTTAGTAAYTCATCAGGAATACATAATGTAGATACAGTTGTCCACACTGATMATTTTTATATATTTATATTTTATATCCTAATTTAACATATCAAGATGTAATACGTAATGACTATATAGTATTTAAATCAACATACAACAAATATATAAAAGAGAGAGAATGAGCATGAGTTAAAAGGAGAACATTGCAAAATATAATATATTTTGTATCATTGTTTGATATTATGCACAATAAACTAATTCTGTACAAGTGTCGGGYTAATAGAGAAAAAAAATGTTGAGTTTATGCTTAAATTATAATTTAACCTCCTGCTCTTTATTATTTGGGCTGAAACTACCCTGGCGATACTATGTACAGTGTGATCACAATTTAAGRTAACACTAAATATCTCATGTAGATAGCCTTGTATTGAAATGGGAGGTGATAGGGAGTGCCTAAATATATATTTTCAGATAAATTTCAAATTATTACCACTTTTTGTGTGCGCATGCATAATACAACTTAAAAATTTTTAATAGAAACAAGTAATATAAAAAAGTTATAATGATAATAGTAATATTAATATTAGGTATATTAAAAAATTAAATTAATATTATGAATTGTTCAAAGTTTTTTTCTAAACATGGTTCAAGTCACCTCAAAAATTCAATCAAAGTTGTTGCCTTTATTTAATCCTCATTTAAAATATCACCTGCTACAGGTATTTTTGTTTTAAGTCCTGAAGATTAACAGATGGAACTATATAAACCACAGTAAATAGTAATCAAATATCCAGAAATAATAAGATGTATTAATATAGTTTAATTTCGTTAATACATTTAATTTTTTACTTTACCTAATATTAATATTACTATTACATTATAACTTTTTTTATAAATTTGATTAATACAGTTGACGAAATATCATACACTAAAATTAATTTTCAATTAATTCACACTTATATATTATTATTTYCAGTGGTTATTATTGAAAATTTCACTAAACACGAATTATGCATAAATCCAAATTTTGGATTACTCTAACTTGGTCAGTTTTGTAAATAGGAAAAAACTTTTGGTACGAAAAATGTTWAAARAAAAATAATAGTCTATATGAATATGTAGAAAAAAATAGTGCTTCCATTAAGAAAAATGTAACATGTAAGTTGTATTGCAAATACACACATAAAAAATGTAAATAATTTTAAATGTATCCAAAAATATGGAGRAATTTTAAAGGTATTCCCTTTCATCTCCCGAAATTCCCATTTTAATACAAGGCCATCCACCTGAGCTATTTAGTGTTACCTTAAATTGTGATCACACTGTATTATATACAATCGGTAACTACGAACAAAGATAATAATTTGTTGAAACAACAGCTATAATATGACATTTAACCATGGTTAACGTACTGCAATATCGATAAATTTTCCCCGAATGCCGAGTGGGATTTTTATCAGTGGTGTAAATAGTAATAGCGAGTGCATCTTCGTTCGACTGGTGGCACTGCGCTGAGGACACCTTTCCTGAGTACATAATCGTTTAGCTTAATAAAAAGACATGATTAATGGTGTTTTATATACCGTAGACTGACATTAGGTCCCTTGTCGCCGTGTATCCTCCACGAGAGCGTTTAAGTCGAAAACATTGGCTTTTAACCTATACACAATGCAATAAATCGTTATACAACACGCGTCTTATATATTTTTTCCATTCTACTGAACTGTATAGTACGGTGAAAAATAAAACATATCCTACTATAAACAGAAACAATATAAGTCTTATAAATATAAATATAAATATATTATGCATCTCATGTAGTATGAAATTTTCTTTTTTTTCTTTTTTGAAAAATTCATTTCTTACGTTATTTCATAACTATAATTGACGTTAAAATTGTTATATTTACGTTTATAAATTTGTACCTATATGGCTATATAATTGTAAATATGTGTTTAAATCAACAAAATTGAAAACTATAATAGTGTTTATTTTTATAAAACTTTCCAATAAAAAAAATCTCCCCGTAGCACTTGATATTATTCCTCTTCAAGTAAAATGTATGAATCATAAAAAATAGTAACACTAAAGTAGTAAATAGTAAATAGCAATCACAACAAGGAAAATCTTACGAAAAATTTATCAGAGATTAAAACTTAAAAATATATTTCGATAAAAATTTAACAAAATTTTCTGCTTAATTAAATATTTCTAAGAATCAAATCAAATTTAACAGATTTTCGAATGGCCATTTAAGCCTTATGGTAATAAAACTAATAAATAATAATATACTAAAGCTTTATCCAGGTAATTATATTATCTGAATCGTTATAAATGAATAAAGTATATTATCACAACATATAATATATATRCGGATTCCCTAATCCCAAGGCTCGTTGTGTTTATCAATATTCAAAAAAATTTTTTTGTTTACAATTGCGTTTTTAAATAAATTTATAAGGATAAATTATTTATTACTATGAAACATTGATTGCACTTTTTAATAATAAAAAAATATGATTTATGACTAACATATTATATTTAATTCCCCTAACACTTTCTCCCTAGTATAGGAAAACAAAGCGAATGTTTGACTTTAGTTGCGTTTTTGTGGATTACGTRAAAAAAACAATGGGCAATGGAAATATTGCAGAGAGATTGCCATTGGATGATAAAAAATGTTTGTTATGGAAAATGTGATGAAAAGAAGGTAAACAATAGTGTTATTAGAGACAAAACCAAAAGATCATTTACATKACAATGAGAATAAAAAATATTTATTTTTTATCGTAGTGTTTCAAATGGTCATGTGTATTTAATTAAGTACTGCAGGCTTATTAAAAAAATTTAGAACAAGGAAATTACTCGCTGATAAATTATATTAATATATAATAMATTTTACCTTGGTTTGTTTAATAAATATAAACATAAATACTAGTGATTATGATATTTGACATCTTAAGTTTAAATTATTTATTTTTAAATTTCTCGAACGTTGGAAATTAATTGTAGATTAAAAGCTTAGATACAATACAATCAATTTATACATAATTTATRTTTTAAAAATCCTATAAATTTAGGTTCAGCTAATATTATACAGAGCGTTTCACTAAACATGCTCAGTCTTATATATTCTTCAATAACATAATTATTTAGAATCTGATTTTTTAATTTCCAAATATACTTAAATATAGTCATATTATAACGAATATGAATGCATCTGAATCAGTAAAAATCTAAAAAAACACTACAAATATTTTGATGATTCAATAGTTTGGAATCGAATGCCCAGTATCGTCAATAAACATTCAGGTGAAATTCAATTTGTTATAAGTTTTAAATTTTAATAAACATTAAACACAATTTATTGTGGTACATATTATTTTCTTTTTGAAAATTTTTAGTTAGAAATTTTATTATAAGCATTTGATCATCGATTTTCATAGTATTTATTTTATTTTATTAAAATATTTATAAATTATACATAAAAATAATAATATAAACTTGATTTATCCGCTATTAAAAAAAAAAAGGAAATTGAAAAAACCCAGGTTTAATCACGAAAGGAAATGGATAATTTATTGAAGATAACAAATAATGAACTCAAATAGATATTAAAAGTATATCGTATAAGTATTTTTAACTGAAAGATGTTATTTTTCAACATTGCATTTTACTTTGTCTCTTTGAAATGCATGATGAATCATTGATGATTGATGAAGACTTGATATGTACATAATGTTATGAATACTGTAAAAAAATATAAAAACATAATTATTAAATATTTGGTGAAAATTAATACAAATCAAAAATRGTGTAACAAGAAGTGTGAATCAAGTGTGTTGCCACAGTAAAAAGTTATAATTTGACAGTATTCGTGTACGAATTGTGCTGTAATTCAATTGTAAGTGCAAAGCATATAATATGATGTTACTGTTATAATATATATTTATAATTGGTGTGTCTCGATTTATATATATTTTTTAATGTAAAAACTAATTAGAGATCTTCAAAGTGTGTGCGTTTTTGGTGGATTTTATACATAATATGTTATTATTTAWTTTTTAATAAATTACTATTTTATTTATTCAATGTATTTTTTATTTATAGTTTTAAAACATGATGTGTTTTTGAGCAGAAATTTTACTTTTCTAATAATGTATAAATACAAAATAAATGTGATATTGCCAATTAATATTCATAAAACACCTTCTTGAATGCCCTAGCTTTGCCGAAAATTCATTCCACGGCCAACGAATCTAGAATATATATTTTTATCTATAAACAATTAAACTTTATTTATGCATTTCCTTGAAAAAACTGTAAAACCGAATTTAAATATTTCAAAAAAATGGGTACTTATTATTCTAATTCTAATTACCCAATAACTATTAACACATGATGAATGTTACATATGTACATATTATGTATAGTACCTATATATTATTATTATATTACAAATTTACAACATAAAATATAAAATGTAATTTTTTTCTCCAGCTAATGACTTTATTTTCGAAGTCTTAACGATAAATAAAAATAATAAATGTAACGGGTTAGATTGAATTGATCTATAATATTATATTATACATATAGCTACAGTTCAATTATTTCTTTTCAGTGCATAGATCTACATATGAATGTTGGAAACAACCGTTATGTAATATTTTACTATAGTTTTAATTTGCGTCACGGCAAGAATCATAATATTATATATAACATTATTACATTTTATATATAACATTATTACATTTTATAATGATAATTTATCCATTCTGTTTGTTTTTTCAGAAAATCGGCGGGAAAAGTCGTCGAAAAAATCATCTTCGGCTGTAAGCGCAGGATCTGTGCAACACACTCCACCACCGCCACAGCAGTACAATACGAGTCACCACCAAAGGACAGAGTTGTCACCGAGATCCAGACAACTGCAAATAGGTCTGAATAACGTATTTTATAATATTATTATGGAGGTTCTTGAAAATTATAAAAAAAGGTCTAAAAATGTCACAATAATTCCCTTAAAAAGTATTTAATTGCCTCATMTAAAATACTTAAAAAATKCATATACATGCAAAATATTATTAGTAAAATTACTCCATTAAACTGTAACTAATGAAACATAGAAAAATGCTAAATATTTAAGTAAAAGTTTCATTTTTAAAGTATCTATAACATGAATTTAATAATGTAATAGGAATGAATTATTCAAAAGTACTAAAAATTAATCCACTATGCATTGAAATTCGGGTTCCAATTACTATACATGCACATTTCGTACAAATGAGTATAGTATGTTTCCTTCATACTTTTATCATCACCAGTGTTTGATTTAAAAATTATTCATATTATATAAAGACATATTAACAGAAGTGAAATGAAAAACGAAATTTCAAATTTTGTGTATGTTYCGAGAGCCCGATCAAAGTTAAAACTGCATAAATAGCAGACATAATATGTTATTACTAACATGATTATTATAATAATATTGTTCAAATAAAATGGCACGATATTATCAAATTCTAAACCAGTAGTGTGCCACACGGTGAATAATTACGGTGGTTAGCTGAAACCTGGGAAATTTATAGTATGGGGTTAGAATGTTTGTCTGTTGGGTTTTTTCCAAAAATCTCGAAAATGGTGTTCGCGATAGTTATTATACAAAGCACACAAACCGTACTTGGTTTAAATATATTATTATACTACCGAGAAAACTCCACCGTGGTGAATTTAATTGGCGGTGACAACGACAGCTCGGTGGTAGGATCGTATTACATACATAATACATATTGTATAATTAATGTTTGTTTAAAATTAAATTAATAGTGTTTAACTAGCGGTGGTAGTGCTATAGGTACACCGAATAGTAAACTTTGAAATATCTCGCGAGWTAGTATATATTATAGTCACTCATATAGTGACTTCTTGTTAATGAAAAATAACATATTATTTAAACTACAATTATATTTATTTATTTCAATATATTATAATATTATGACTATCTGAACCCATGCACTTCATAGCCCGTTAAAAATCCTACGTCTTGTATGTCTCGAAATGTGTGTTGTAGCCATTTGTTAAAAATATAGTCATCATTGTAAAATTAAAATTCTCATTGCAAATTGAAACCATAATTTAGYTATGACAAATCGTATTATTATACTGAAAAATGTTTAAGTTTACGGCGAGTTTTAATATCTAGGTATATACTATATTTATACTTTCGGTTGTTATTTATAATATTTATATAACTCATCATGGAAATATATATGAAMAATTGTATAAATAAGTATGTGACATAAGCAAATTAATTATGGCGATTGAAATATTGTGTGCAGAACATGGTCTTATTGTTTCGTTCAACAGTTCGTAATAACAAGGTTACCTATCTAAACGTACAAAACTGAGTAACAAGCGAATATTGAAAATACTGTATTTTATTGTACTGTATAAAACTAATTAGCAATAATGTTTTTGTCGGAAAATGCGTGGTTATAACGCACAAGGCGTTCCACCATTCGGAACAAAGAAGTTTAGATGATTTTATTTTAAACCACTTCAGAGCTACAACAATGKTTTATAAAACCCCCGGAAAACAATTTTTTTTWAAATTTTTTTTCTTGTACACAAGCTGATATTATTGTTATATAGTATTCTAATACACGGGATTTCTGAACACGAAATATTTATTTCAGCTAGTACCTAGTTATATAACGCGTACATTTTTTAAATTCATTATTTGTTTCCCGAGACACAAAATCTCAAAATTATACAGTCATATGAAATTATATACGCGTACGTATAATATAATATTAACGTATTCCGTTTGAAATCCGTTCTAAAGTGGTTTCAGTCTGGCCACGACAATTAATGCGTTTTGTTGTGGGCACGAAATAAATGTAAAATAAACCAATCAAGAAACAGAGGATTAAACATATTATTTCTAGATTTCTGGATACAACAACTTTGAAAGAAACGAAAAATCAAATGAAGAGACGAAAAAATCAGTAAAATTCACAATTCACATATACCCCAAAATGTAATATAACAACTAATACAGATCTAAAATGCGAAATCAAAAAACTGATTCTAATCAAATGTCAGACCCGTTGACACAAACAGAACACCATATTAAGAAGAGTAAAGTAAAGTAAAGTAAAGTAAAGTAGTAAAGTAAAAAAAAAAACAATTTCCGGCTGGCCTAACCTTTTTCTAAACAGATGGATACCTCATGAAAAGAAAATAGAAACACCAAAAATGAAATTATTTATGAACCAAACTGTCAGTCAACCACATATTCACAGAATGTCCCCAAATACACAGACAACATCACCAGCCTCAACTAACTAAATACTAACCTTAGATACAACAATCGGACTCGATTCGGACACTGTTACACTCATTTTAAAATATTTAAAAAATAAAAGACTAGATAAACACACCAATCSAGCAGCAATTCAACTACTTGATAATTCTCAAGAYATTAGRCGTCTCAAACGCCGAAGACCATATGACTTAGTATAAATTATTAGACTAAGGTTGGGACCTCTCCACTGGGAGTGATAACCCAAACATGTTTTTTGTATATATTATTTACTACATATTTATTCATTAATTTATTAATATTAATATTTAATATTTATGTACACCTCTTAAATGTATTGTTAAAGATCATTGATCGTTATAATAAAAAAAGCCTTCAGGTGGTTTAAAAAAATAAAAAATAAATATTATGCTGTAATAATAATTTATCATATTTTATGTATTCGTATCCACGTTTCTGTGCGTATTTCATAATTTTCTCATTCATCATTGAGCTTAGAGTATAAAAGAAAAAAATTAAGATGAAAGTACCAAAGTTCACACAAACTTTGTGACGCTCTGCGCTCTGCATGTCTTACTTTGACCGAGAATAAGAATAGTTTCTAACACTTTCGCTACATTACTGTGTTACTGAAAATGGTGAGTAATACGAACACTTATATTTTAACATCGCCTTACAGGTGCAATAGGTATACTGTAAATATAGAWTTTATTCTGAGAAAGCAGTTTAAGAGTCGAATAGTTAATGACGACAGATATACAATATTTGTATTTTATTTGTAATGTTTATTTTATTGCTGTTATCACGCACAAGTATTGAGTATATGATAATATTATGCCTTCTTTTATAAATATATATTTAATATKTCTTAACAATTTTATATTTCAGTTYAATGATAAAATAAAGTAAAGAAAGTAAAGAAACAACAAAGAATAAAAATATGAGAAATTATGCGGTCTAATTCAAAGAAAAATATATTCAGGTTTATATCAATTTTAAAATACTCATGTAAACACGAAGTTGCAGTTTTAACAAATGCCTATYATTGAAAAATAATATWATACATGTACTTATACATTTTTTTTGAATTCTGAGCAGAACGGTATGGTAAGCATGTTTAGTATCGCCTTTTGAAAAAGTGAGAATACTTCTATAATCAATTTTCCAATACTTTTCAAAATAATAGTTAAAAATTAACAAGTGAAAAAGTAGATAACAATGAAAATTTTTTAACATTATTGATTTTATTTTAATTAAACATCAACAAATATAGTTTTTACCAAATATTTTTACCCCTTTATGCTATCTATAAATATTTATAATTTTCTGGTGTTTTTATATCTCATAGGTATTGCATATAATTTATGAATGGTTGTCTTCTGCTTAATTCATTGAAAAAACACATCTAAAAGGTGTACATTATTAGTTTAGTATATTTCTTCTGTTTGTAAGTGTCTGAATTTTATTTCTCAATCTTGCTAGGGAGATTATAATAAGAAATATTACATACAATTTTTTTTTTTTATTAATCTTAAGCATTGGTAACTATGGCCATTAATATACAGCTATAATATAGTCAATATTTTGTTATATTGGAGTTTTTTATTTGGTTGTATCCGTTTGTGAGTAATTCCTGCAGTCATAAACTCACCACTGCTGATGTCAGTATATATATGTACAATACATGTATTATTKGCTTTTATAGATATACGACCGATAAAATAGAGGTAACTTTAGGGATTTTTTAGGAGACAGTATACGTAGAATGCAGATGTCCAAATAGTAATAAATTTAGATAAGACAGACGGAATTGTTAAGGTACCTTGGAACAAAACGATTGTGCGTGTTGGAGATCATTATATATCCATATAACCTACCATGACACGAAACTGAACAGTAATCACATGGTTGAACGATAACGAAATTCAGAGACCCAAAAACCTCACGTCTTGTAGTCGGATATATGGATGCAAATAACTATAATCYTAGTCCGTATATTATGTATACAAAACAAAAAACCACAGAATAATTCTGCTTCACCGTTTTTGCCGATCTCAATATTAATAGGTACCTATTATACGAAACCAGCTTCTAAAGTTCTAAACCTTTNATACATGTACTTATACATTTTTTTTGAATTCTGAGCAGAACGGTATGGTAAGCATGTTTAGTATCGCCTTTTGAAAAAGTGAGAATACTTCTATAATCAATTTTCCAATACTTTTCAAAATAATAGTTAAAAATTAACAAGTGAAAAAGTAGATAACAATGAAAATTTTTTAACATTATTGATTTTATTTTAATTAAACATCAACAAATATAGTTTTTACCAAATATTTTTACCCCTTTATGCTATCTATAAATATTTATAATTTTCTGGTGTTTTTATATCTCATAGGTATTGCATATAATTTATGAATGGTTGTCTTCTGCTTAATTCATTGAAAAAACACATCTAAAAGGTGTACATTATTAGTTTAGTATATTTCTTCTGTTTGTAAGTGTCTGAATTTTATTTCTCAATCTTGCTAGGGAGATTATAATAAGAAATATTACATACAATTTTTTTTTTTTATTAATCTTAAGCATTGGTAACTATGGCCATTAATATACAGCTATAATATAGTCAATATTTTGTTATATTGGAGTTTTTTATTTGGTTGTATCCGTTTGTGAGTAATTCCTGCAGTCATAAACTCACCACTGCTGATGTCAGTATATATATGTACAATACATGTATTATTKGCTTTTATAGATATACGACCGATAAAATAGAGGTAACTTTAGGGATTTTTTAGGAGACAGTATACGTAGAATGCAGATGTCCAAATAGTAATAAATTTAGATAAGACAGACGGAATTGTTAAGGTACCTTGGAACAAAACGATTGTGCGTGTTGGAGATCATTATATATCCATATAACCTACCATGACACGAAACTGAACAGTAATCACATGGTTGAACGATAACGAAATTCAGAGACCCAAAAACCTCACGTCTTGTAGTCGGATATATGGATGCAAATAACTATAATCYTAGTCCGTATATTATGTATACAAAACAAAAAACCACAGAATAATTCTGCTTCACCGTTTTTGCCGATCTCAATATTAATAGGTACCTATTATACGAAACCAGCTTCTAAAGTTCTAAACCTTTAACATTTTTGTGTAATGCTATACGAGTATAAATTACCTGAAAATATTTAATTATTAATAATTGAATAAAATAATTTTTTTTTCTTTTTATTGAACTAAAAAAAACATCAACAACAAAGGCTATTAGTTTTTTGTTAAGATACAATGTTAAGGATTTTACAATGTTTATATGATGCTAACTACATATGGTTACTATTTAAGTTAATGTTACAATTTTTTTTTTTAACAATATGTTTAAATTTTTTTGTAAAAATCCGATCCTTTGAGAAAGGCTATCATGTTCGATGTGGTCTCGTTGCTCGGTCCCAGAGATTTAATTGAAGGCATATTGTAAACGTGAATAAATAATTACAATTTTCCGTTTCAGAATTATTCGATTTTCCAAGACACAATTTTACATTATTTAACGTTAACTTGTTTTATAGATGATATGATGTACAATTCGAATATACAGAGAATTGTTAAGAATACTCTTTAAATAGATACACTAATTATCTCAAATAATATAAACTTTTTTTGAATTTTTTTTTTGAATTTTTTTTTTTGAACTTTAAAGTTTATGTTTTTCTAAAACCATATAATATTTTGATTTTTTTCACCCTTATATTTATTGGTGAAACCACTATAAACTTTTGATTTTCAAATGGTAATAACATATAATTAAAATATCATGAATTGATAAAACCATTTTAAAGACCAAGAGCTATTGATAAATTCAACATCGCTGAATCCAAATTAACATATGATAAGTAGTATAAGTATATAACATATTTTTATCTATCTTACAGGTGGCAGCGGAGGAAAACCAGTKTACCGTTTGACGTCCGAGGCCAAACACGTCCTGTGTGAATGCGCAGAGTATCAACTTGCCAACTCGCCGACACACGACCACGTGGCTGCGCATATTCTCCGACAACTGGGCGATCGTCCGGACTTTTCGACGRCGGCTGTGAAACATGACGAATACGCGTACGATGACGGTGTCGGCGATGGCGAAAACAACGAAGACTGTTACCAATGGTAAGCTCTGACATGAACCAGGCACAATATATTATTATGTGAGGAATAAATKTGAACGCACATCCTTTACACASGTAAATAAAAATTAGGTGAATAGGTACGTCCACAAATATACAGCGCATATTCCGCAAGGAACTTAGGTATCGTGTTGAAAATGCCTCGAAAAACTATATTTTTCGTTTCAGTTATATTTTGTTAAAAYCGATAAGAAAATTCTCACATGGTGATACCCAAAAAATAGTTCAAAAAAATATCAATCGAAATATTTTAAGGTGATTGGAGCTCATATTATTTATAAATAAGCACGCTTTAAATCATATTGATTTCATATCATTTTTATTTTATATGTTTATAAAATATATTTACATMCAATATCGTACTATACTCAGAACCTATTAAAACTATAGAATAGGTTAGGTACCTATATCTACACTATACGCATTTAGTAAAACACAAAATATATATATATATATATATAATATATATTGTGGACATCTCACCCGCCTTTATTTTATTTTAGTTTTATTTTTTGTCAAATTTAAGTTATGTTTATTTGSAACTATCTGAGATAATTTGAATTTATTATTATTAAATGATATTAAAAGTTAAAACCYAATGTGAATGTAATAACATAATACGAATATTATCACGGCGAAAGAAACAATATACGTGTACTAAGATTGTGAATGGTTCTAACGGCGTCGTGGCTGACATAAACGAATAAAAATAAAGCAAGTTTTCTTGTGAAAAGTCCAAAAATAAAAAATAATGATTGATTAGTAATGTAACAATATTATATCAGTGTGTCAGAGAGAGAAACCAAAATGGTACGTGACATTCCACACTCGCGTGTACCTATATTGCCTATACGACGAGCCGTCTTACAAAATAATCGAAGTAATTAATATTATTATAAAAATAATGATATTATTTCGATTACTRCTGCATATTATTAGGATCAGTAAATTTATTCTAGAAAGTGCGAAGAACATTTAGAAAATTTCGAAACATTTCCCAAAACGTTGGGTTYGTTTTTTTYCCGAATTTTGGTGCAGGTCTATAAAATTGAATTTAAACACGTAGTACACGGCTGGTTTTCCACGAATCGCGTTGGTATGGAAAAGTCAACAGCTATACCCAAGACCGACTTATTTAAGAGTCTCGCTAGAGCCTCTTTTCTGTGCGTAAGGAACACCGACAAGAATAACAGCACACGAGTAAGAAATAAAAAACAACTCGACACGAATCGATAGCGAGACATTATTTTACATTAAGTTTCGTCTCGGCACTCGGACCTCTCACTCGCACGCGTTGGTCGTGTGTGGAGTGCGAGAGAGACAGAGTTAAAAACTGCAGTCTTGTGTGTTTCATTTTTCGATCTGTCATACCGTGCCATATTATTATAAGCGTGGTACTTATATATAACCTATAAACAAACCCTAACCTTCACCCATTTCCATAAACCCTTGCCGCCTTACCGGCTTTCTTGCCCAGGACCTTAGTTCACGGTGTTTCCCCTATGGAAGTGGAGGTACAATTGAGGTAGTTTAGACGATAAAGGAAATTTTTTCCTTGGAGGTAGTTTTGGACTAGRAGGTAGTTTTAACCTGAAGTATTTCTGACCATGGAGGTAGTTTTTTTCCCGTGAGGTAGTTTTATTCCTTGGAAGTAGTTTTGGCCTTTGAGGTACTTACTTTTCTTTTGGCATGTGCACTCCATGACCAACCTGTGGGAATCTTTTCCTTGCGGTAATCCTCGGAAAACTTCGATAATAGCAACCCGGGGGGTATATATTTTGTAATTACAAAATAAAGGCTTTGCCAACGTGTGACTGAAAATTCACGATCGCTCCTATAAACTACAGAGTTGCATTTTATATGACAATAATCTTAAATCTGGCAGATACAACATCATGATTAGGGAGAAAACAAAACCAGCTGGGTACACATAAATAWCCAAATCATAGAAAACGCAAGTGGCTCCAGAATTCCAAAAACGCTCACATATTGATATTTGAAGCAAAATAATTACATTGTCCCAAGATGCYACTGTAAAACGTGCTTCGGAAAAATAATTGAAAACCACAAAACAGTACTTCTGAGAAGTAAAACAGGCTTTCTGTGCGTAAGTTAAAGCGATTGAAAGAAAAGATAGAATTTTGCTGTGCCAAAAGGGCCCATGGTTGAAAAAGTAGAATTTGGAGATTAATAAAGAAATGAAATCAATACTCAAATTCTGTGCTTAAAGGCATATTGTTGAAAAAGTTTCTGAATTTTTAGATTAATAAGGAAGTGTAATCAATCCCAAAATTCTGATGTCTCGACTTAAAAAACATCAATTCACAAAAATGTCAAGATGTTCAACTGCACAAACATCGAGAAAAAAAATTAGCACATAACGGAACGCATTACAGATTGTCAATAAAAATTCGAGTCAGGCAAATTAACTGGTAAAGAAGTCGACAACTCCAATGTATGGCCAATTTCTTCAGGTTAGGTCATACGCCGTTSTCTGCTAATTTTTTTTTCTCAATGTGAAGAATGTGTTGAAGTTCTCAATGAGTTGAACATCTCGAAATTTTTGTGAATTGATATTTTTTCAAGTTGAGGCATCAGAATTTTAGGATCGGTTTCACTTTTTTATTAAMATCAAAATTCCATCTTTTCTTCCAATCGCTTTAACTTACGCACAGAACGCCTATTTTACATATCTGAAGTACATTTTTGTGGATATAATATACAACAATAAATAAATAAAAATAGATTTTGGACTCTCTGGTGCTACATTTCTTCAATGTGATTATTGTTGCATACCTGTGAAGCATGAAAAGTATTATTATTTCACCAAGTAATTTATTTTCTTTAAATTTTTAATTATCATTTTTGTCAACAATCATTTATCACTATCCGAAAATTTAAAAATCCGGAAACTCCCTTACGCTGCAGCTGCATAAGCATATAATAGGTTTCGAGTATACCTCAACTTCGGCATTGATTATTCAGTGTAATTCACAGCAACAGATTTGACATTCGTAAACTTGGTTGAGTTTTTCAGCCGAGAAAACTAATGGATCTATATTCTATATTAATAATATTATATATATTATAATATATAAATATTTAATATAATATAAATATCAAAATATATTATATTATGTTTTTATAGTCATTTTCGTAATTAGTGTAGTGTACCGTAAAATAGTACCTATGCTATTGGTGAGAAACAGTTTTAAATTAATCTAAATATCTTGAAAATTTCATTACATTTAATGTACTGACAATATAAACACACCAAGGAAAGGTTAAACTTTTTAATTTATTTTTTTAATGAAAAGACACAAAATAACTAAAATTGTAATAAATTAGATTTATATTTTTAATTGTGTACAAAATAATATGCATATTTTCAAACTATTAAAAAACAAAATTTAAATAAATGATAAGTAATACTGATTCAAGTATTTCGGTGAAAATATAATATTTGATTATTTTTTTTTTTTTATTTTTTTTTTTTTGGAATAACTAAAAAAATATACATATGGGACATTTTTCAAAGCATACTGAATTTAAAATGCTACTAGAAATTAGTCTTCATCTTGATGGTGACATAAGTAAATATTCTGCTTTATAACTTAATTATAAACTTGACATATACGTCGTTATAAATTCAACACATAAATCACTCTTTCGTGAATAAAAATGGTGTCACTTTTATCGTGTTTGAAACCACATTATTATTTGTGTTCAACAAGTGTCTACGAATTTCGACAGTAAATCTAAAAATATAAACAGCGTCCATATAATTCTAATGCACGTACCCACACACAATAAGTGGCGTCCACGACATCCTGTAAACGACGTCCCAGCACGGCTATCGTTTATTTTATTCACGAAATTTTTTTTATCCTAAAAATTTTAACCAGTGCATTTTTTTTTTTTTTGGTATCGAATAGAATAAAAAGTTTTTGATGGGGCAACAGCTCAGTACATACACATCGGCGTTTGTATTGTGTTATTTGTTTAGAATAAATGCGTAAGCTACGACGACGATTGTTTGGGCAATGCGTTGCAATGTTTTCCGCCAGAACCGAACGCGATTCGGAGATTGGGATTTTGAAATTTATATTCGAACAGAGTTTACTTTGCAGTCGCAAACCGTAATGCGCGTGTATATTATACGTATATATATATATATGTGTGTGTATGCACATTTTTTTTTTTATGGCGGAAACACTCGACGAAATCATTGTTCGTGAACCATTCAAGCGTAAAAGCCCTGGCTGTCTTATTTTTTATGCATCTCGCCCGCTATAACGCGGGTATACAGTGTGATTTACATTTGGCCGTAATAAAACATCCCCAAATCACTCGTTTTTGGTTCAGCGTCTCCCATGCGCATGCAATATAGGTTTTGATTAATTTTTATTAATCGCGTACGTGATTTTTTTTTATACGTCCCGTCACACTGCCTTTTTTTTACAACGGAAAAACACACAACCGTGTGCCAGTCAGGTTACAACCGTAATCCACATAATATCAAAACATAATGATGTTAAATAAATTATTATATGTGAAGTGTACAACGTGTGTAAAAGTGTGAACTGCGGATTCGCTAAACCCATTCACCTACTTTAATCGCTTGTAATATAATAGATATTTTATTCATATGCAGATTTTTGGAATTTTTAAGRATATATACTTACRAGTCCAGATTTTCAAACCGTTATAGATGTTGTATACAGTAAGAAGCTATTAAACGAGTGTCCCACAGTGATATCAATGAGAACCACTCTTTTTCCCGGCGAATTGTATAGAATAAATGTATATAATATTTTTTTTAAATTTTGATGCATCTAAATCGAAATACGAACGAGTGGTTTTTCAGTTAACAACTTTTTACACTAAGGATAATATTGTTCTTAATAATGCTTTGTTTTGAAATTTKTAACTGTATTGTGGGATCAATATTAACCATTAACTGTAGTCATATTTTAGAGCGAG